GTGCTGGCCATTCTCCTGCCTTCCAAATAATATTGCAGATGTAATACAGTAAGTCAACTGTTTTTTCTACAACTTTCAAAAGCTCCATTAGGATGTTGTCTACACCTGCTGATCCTTCCATCGTCTATTTGACCTTTTAAAATTTCTGGTTCTTCTTTATATTATTGTTCTGTTATTTCTGTTTCTACTATGTTTAGCTCTTTAATTACTTCTGGGTTGGAGTCAGTGTTGTAGTTACATAGTTCTTTTCCATACTCAGTATAATGTTTTTGAATTGTATTACTTTCTGTTAGTACTTTACCAGTATTTATTTGGTATACCTTAATGAGTTGTTTCAGGCTCTTAAATGCTTTCATATTATTATTACTATGAAATTCATGTTGAATATTTCAGCATCTTTGTTGTGTACACATTTATTTTGCTAATTTCACTTGTAACTCTTTTGTTTCCTTCTTTGTATTTGTGATTGTCTAATTTCATCTTGATACATTTGATTTTGAGTGCTTTATGTTTGTCGCACACTTCCACGTCTTTGTTGTTCATCCATGGTTGCTTTTTCTTCTTTGCTTGTATTTGTTAAGTCATGCTTTGTATTGTATGTATTATGATGATTCAATAGTTACAACTTTTATATTATCAGTGATAACAGAACTGTAAACATGCTGGATCAATTAAATCATAAGTGTCTTCTACAAAACAGTTGGAGTAAGAACACCAGTCCTGTACAGGGCATGTGAACTAAAAACAATGGCACAGAACAGATGAGCTGAGAACACCAGGTCTGGTCAGGACTAGTGGGCCAAGTACACAGGTCTTGTGCAGGACTAGTGGGCCAAGTACACAGGTGTTCTGCAGGACTAGTGGGCCAAGTACACAGGTGTTCTGCAGGACTAGTGGGCCAAGTACACAGGTCTTGTGCAGGACTAGTGGGCCAAGTACACAGGTCTTCTGCAGGACAAGTGGGCCAAGTACACAGGTCTTCTGCAGGGCAAGTGGGCCAAGTACACAGGTCTTGTGCAAGACTATTGGGCCAAGTACACAGGTCTTGTGCAGGACTAGTGGGCCAAGTACACAGGTCTTGTGCAGGACTAGTGGGCCAAGTACTCAGGTCTTGTGCAGGACTAGTGGGCCAAGTACACAGGTCTTGTGCAGGACTAGTGGGCCAAGTACACAGGTCTTGTGCATAACTAGTGGGCCAAGTACACAGGTCTTGTGCATGACTAGTGGGCCAAGTACTCAGGTCTTGTGCAGGACTAGTGGGCCAAGTACACAGGTATTGTGCAGGACTAGTGGAAAAACTGGACCTAGGTAGAACTGATGGGCCAAGAATGCTGGTCTGCTACAGAACATGTAAAGTAAGGATTAAAACCTTTCAAAAACTCCTGCAGAGTCACACTGTTCTCTTTTTTAAACTACCATCACCTCATCTAAGATATATATATATAAAACATAGGTGAAGTGATGTAACAATTGATATAATTCACAATTTCATTCACAATACTGCCATAAAAAAATAAAGCAACCTACTTGCATAATTTTTTATATTGTATTTGTTTTTTGTGAAGTAATCATAAAGATGTTAGAAATAACTAACTCCAGTAATTCATAATGCAATTATTATAAAGTAGCTTATTAATCAACAACTTTTCTTTCTTGACATGATTTTCAAAAGTCTATAAAAACCATCACTTCCATGTTAAAACAATAGTGCAGAGTTCAGTTTGTGCTTCAGCAATCAGAAACATCCATGAGATTAAGAAATTGTCATGTTTTAAAACAATATACGTTATTCATATAAAAACTAAAGTCATTTCATTTTTGTAGTGTTTAAAATATCTAACTGAATTCTTTCCTTACACCTTTTTTGTTTTATATTTCTTAAACACACACATACATTAAATATAATTTCATAGCTGAGGGATAGTAACAGAAATAAATCTCTAATTATTTTTTTGGTTTGTTTGTTATTAAGCGCAAAGCTACACAACATGCTATCTATGCTGTGTCCACTGCAGGGATTGAAACCCAATTTTTAGCATTATAAACCCAGACTTACTACAGAGCCACTGGGGACAAACTCTAAATATGTGTTGGAAAAAACTATTTAGATTAGCAAGGTTTAATTATGAGATAAAGTTTTTCATCACCATATCACTCTCTCTATATACATTCAGACATAAAATTCAATATTATCCCCCCTCCATTAATTAACCCTTGGAAACAAGTAACCACTGAAGATGTTGCAATGATAAAATAATAATTTCAACATAAGCCATTCTCTTATTCTGACTAACTAAGAAGTCCTGTAGTTTTAGTTTCTCAGTTATTTTATAGTTAAAGTAATGGGTTGTATTAAAACTCAAGTACTAACACTTAAAGCTTTTTCCTCACTCTACAGTATTTATTAATGAAATTGTTTGCAATAGCAATATTTGAAATAGCTGTCAGACTTATAATTAAGTTGATTCTTGGTTATCAAGGTGTAACAATCATTCATAATTAAACTTTTTTTTTTTTTATTCCCATCAGATCATGGTTTTTATGCATTTTATAATCTTAACATACTAACTTCTAAACACCAGTGTATCAACTATTAAACAATAGTACCTTTGTACAAAATCATGCAATGAAGCAGCACTTTGTGGAAAAATTACAAATTATGAAAATAATAAACCAAGTGACAACAGTTCAACAAATAACACTTGAAGCATGAATGTAACATGCAATATTTTCATCTTCTCTTATCTGTATACTTATGCCTTTATTAATATTTATTTAAAATCACTGGGTAGGTGAATCAATGGCTTTATGAAGACTGTTAATCAAACTTCACTGAGTAGAAACATAAATGATTTATAAAATCTTAAAATTCACTGGGTAGATATAACAATGACTTTATAAAATCTTAAACTTCACTGGGTAGATGTATCATTGACTTTATAAAATCTTAAATTCACTGGGTAGATGTAACAATGACTTTATAAAATCTTAAACTTCACTGGGTAGATGTAACAATGACTTTATAAAATCTTAAACTTCACTGGGTAGATGTATCA